GCAGCTTACAGAAGATAATTAACTTTATATACAGAACAGAAGCATTGTGTTTCTAAATGATTTACAGAATAGCCTCCTTGCAATGCTTCCGGTCCTTTAACGATCTTCCTGTCTTTACATATCCACCTGTGATAGACATGGCTGTATCCATTGGAGTTGTTCCTAGCCCTCACATCTTTCCCCAGACTGGTTCAACTTCCCACCTTGGATACATCAACATTAAGGGACGCGGGTGGCGCTGTGGGTTAAACCACAGAGCCTAGGACTTGCTGATCAGAAGGTCGGCGGTTCGAATCCCCGCGACAGGGTGAGCTCCCGTTGCTCAGTCCCTGCTCCTGCCAACCTAGCAGTTTGAAAGCAGGTCAAAGTGCAAGTAGATAAATAGGTACTGCTCCAGCGGGAAGGTAAACGGTGTTTCCGTGTGCTGCTCTGGTTCGCCAGAAGCGGCTTAGTCATGCTGGCCACATGACCCGGAAGCTGTACGCCACCTCCCTCGGCCAATAAAGCGAGATGAGCGCCGCAACCCCAGAGTCGGCCACGACTGGACCCTTTACCTTTACATCAACATTACATTACAAAATCGTTCAGCCCGGACACTGAGGCCCAGCTGGGTCGAACCTAATAGCACAAGGCAGGGTAGGTAGGAAACAACTCTAATTAGCTGGAGGCTGGGTTGCATTTTTTAGTTCAAAAAATCCCCACTCACAAGATACACAGTGGGTTACATCCAGTGCAAGATTTACGTATAAGCTAAACAAGCTGTAGCTTAGGGCCCCACTCTCTTGGGTGCCTCCAAAAAAATTAAAGGGGAAAAAAACAACTGGATGTACATTTCCAGAATATAAGATAAAAAACAAATAATACAGCAACCTTGTTTTGTGTTGTGTAGGCTCCTATGATGTAAGTAATGGGCCCCGCCTGCTAGCCTGCTCCCTAAAATATCACTGGTTTGGTCATTTCTGTATACAGTGGTACCTCGGGTTAAGAACTTAATTCGTTCCGGAGGTCCGTTCTTAACCTGAAACTGTACTTAACCTGAAGCACCACTTTAGCTAATAGGGCCTCCTGCTGCCGCCGTGTCACCGCTGTGCGATTTCTGTTCTCATCCTGAAGCAAAGTTCTTAACCCGAGGTACTATTTCTGGGTTAGCTGAGTCTGTAACCTGAAGCGTCTGTAACCCGAGGTAGCACTGTATAGGGTGCCTATATTCTGAATGAACTGGTTGCATTCAACACAAAAAACAGTGACAATTTGTTGTTGACAAAGGACAGCTGGACATATAAAGGGCCCCATTACCTTCAGTAGCTTAGGGCCTCATCAAACCTAAATCCGGCACTGGTTACATCAAATGCAATTTGACTGAAGTTGCCCCGTCTCGGTCCCAGCTACACGCAGAAGCCTTATGACCCGTCCATTAACAGCGGGGCGCTTTGAAATGTTAAAAAACACCCTGTGATCTTCGGATAAAAGGCGGAATATAAATGTAATCTAATTATTAATTATTATTATTAATGATAAATATTAATAATAATGTTGTTTAGTCGTTTAGTCGTGTCCGACTCTTCGTGACCCCATGGACCAGAGCACGCCAGGCACTCCTGTCTTCCACCGCCTCCCGCAGTTTGGTTAGACTCATGTTTGTAGCTTCGAGAACACTATCCAACCATCTCATCCTCTGTCGTCCCCTTCTCCTTGTGCCCTCCATCTTTCCCAACATCAGGGTCTTTTCCAGGGAGTCTTCTCTTCTCATGAGGTGGCCAAAGTATTGGAGCCTCAACTTCACGATCTGTCCTTCCAGTGAGCACTCAGGTCTGATTTCCTTAAGAATGGATGCGTTTGATCTTCTTGCAGTCCATGGGACTCTCAAGAGTCTCCTCCAGCACCATAATTCAAAAGCATCAATTCTTCGGCGATCAGCCTTCTTTATGGTCCAGCTCTCACTTCCATACATCACTACTGGGAAAACCATGGCTTTAACTATACGGACCTTTGTTGGTAAGGTGATGGCTCTACTTTTTAAGATGTTGTCTAGATTTGCCATCGCCTTTCTCCCAAGGAGCAGGCGTCTTTTAATTTCGTGGCTGCTGTCACCATCTGCAGTGATCATGGAGCCCAAGAAAATAAAATCTCTCACTGCCTCCATTTCTTCCCCTTCTATTTGCCAGGAGGTGATGGGACCAGTGGCCATGATCTTCGTTTTTTTGATGTTGAGCTTCAGACCATATTTTGCGCTCTCCTCTTTCACCCTCATTAAAAGGTTCTTTAATTCCTCCTCACTTTCTGCCATCAAGGTTGTGTCATCTGCATATCTGAGGTTGTTGATATTTCTTCCGGCGATCTTAATTCCGGCTTGGGATTCATCCAGCCCAGCCTTTCGCATGATGAATTCTGCATATAAGTTAAATAAGCAGGGGGACAATATACAGCCTTGTCGTACTCCTTTCCCAATTTTGAACCAATCAGTTGTTCCATATCCAGTTCTAACTGTAGCTTCTTATCCCACATAGAGATTTCTCAGGAGACAGATGAGGTGATCAGGCACTCCCATTTCTTTAAGAACTTGCCATAGTTTGCTGTGGTCGACACAGTCAAAGGCTTTTGCATAGTCAATGAAGCAGAAGTAGATGTCTTTCTGGAACTCTCTAGCTTTCTCTATAATCCAGCGCATGTTTGCAATTTGGTCTCTGGTTCCTCTGCCTCTTCTAAATCCAGCTTGCACTTCTGGGAGTTCTCGGTCCACATACTGCTTAAGCCTGCCTTGTAGAATTTTAAGCATAACCTTGCTAGCGTGTGAAATAAGTGCAATTGTGCGGTAGTTGGAGCATTCTTTGGCACTTCCCTTCTTTGGGATTGGGATGTAGACTGATCTTCTCCAATCTTCTGGCCACTGCTGAGTTTTCCAAATTTGCTGGCATATTGAGTGTAGCACCTTAACAGCATCATCTTTTAAAATTTTAAATAATTCAGCTGGAATATCATCACTTCCACTGGCCTTGTTATTAGCGATGCTTTCTAAGGCCCATTTGACTTCACTTTCCAGGATGTCTGGCTCAAGGTCAGCAACCACACTACCTGGGGTATACGAGACATCAATTTCTTTCTGGTATAGTTCCTCTGTGTATTCTTGCCACCTCTTCTTGATGTCTTCTGCTTCTGTTAGGTCCTTTCCACTTTTGTCTTTTATTATGGAAATCTTTGTACAAAATGTTCCTTTCATATCTCCAATTTTCTTGAACAGATCTCTGGTTCTTCCCATTCTATTGTTTTCCTCTATTTCTTTGCATTGCTCGTTTAAGAAGGCCTTCTTGTCTCTCCTTGCTATTTTTTGGAAATCTGCATTCAATTTCCTGTATCTTTCACTATCTCCCTCGCATTTTGCTTGCCTTCTCTCCCCCGCTATTTGTAAGGCCTCGTTGGACAGCCACTTTGCTTTCTTGCATTTCCTTTTCATTGGGATGGTTTTAGTTGCTGCCTCTTGTATAATGTTACGAGCCTCCATCCATAGTTCTTCAGGCACTCTGTCCACCAAATCTAAATCCTTAAACCTGTTCCTCACTTCCACTGTGTATTCATAAGGGATTTGACTTAGATTGTATCTTACCGGCCCAGTGGTTTTTCCTACTTTCTTCAGTTTAAGCTTGAATTTTGCTATAAGAAGCTGATGATCTGAGCCACAGTCAGCTCCAGGTCTTGTTTTTGCTGACTGTATAGAGCTTCTCCATCTTTGGCTGCAGAGAATATAATCAATCTGATTTCGATGCTGCCCATCTGGTGATGTCCATGTGTAGAGTCGTCTCTTGTGTTGTTGGAAAAGCGTGTTTGTGATGACCAGCTTGTTCTCTTGACAGAACTCTATTAGCCTTTGCCCTGCTTCGTTTTGAACTCCAAGGCCAAACTTGCCAGTTGTTCCTTTTATCTCTTGATTCCCTACTTTAGCATTCCAATCCCCTATTATGAGCAGAACATCCTTCTTTGGTGTCATTTCTATAAGGTCTTGTAAGTCTTCATAGAATTGGTCAATTTCAGTTTCTTCAGCACCAGTAGTTGGTGCATAAACTTGGATTACTGTGATGTTAAAAGGTCTGCCTTGGATTCGTATCGAGATCATTCTATCATTTTTGAGATTGCATCCCAGTACAGCTTTTGCCACTCTTTTGTTGACTATGAGGGCCACTCCATTTCTTTTACGGGTTTCTTGTCCACAGTAGTAGATATGATAGTCATCCAAACTGAATTCGCCCATTCCCGTCCATTTTAGTTCACTGATGCCCAAGATGTCAATATTTATTCTTGCCATCTCATTTTTGACCACATCCAACTTACCCAGGTTCATGGTTCTTACATTCCAGGTTCCTATGCAATATTTTTCTTTACAGCATTGGACTTTCCTTTCGCTTCCATGCATATCCGCAACTGAGCGTCCTTTCGGCTTTGGCCCAGCCGCTTCATCAGCTCTGGATCTACTTGTACTTGTCCTCCGCTCTTCCCCAGTAGCATGTTGGACACCTTCCGACCTGAGGGGCTCATCTTCCAGCGTCATAACTTTTATATGCCTGTTGTCTTTGTCCATGGAGTTTTCTTGGCAGGGATACTGGAGTGGCTTGCCAGTTCCTGCTCCAGGTGGATCACGTTTGGTCAAAACTCTCCACTATGACCTGTCCATCTTGGGTGGCCCTGCACGGCATAGCTCATAGCTTCTCTGAGTTATTCAAGCCCCTTCGCCACGGCAAGGCAGTGATCCATGAAGGAGATTAATAATAATACAAATATAATAATAATAATAATAATAATAATAATAATAATAATAATAGAATTGGAAGCAATGCGTTTGTTGGTGCTATCGGTACCCCACAATCATAAAGCATCTCCGAAACCCCAGATTTCTTCATTGTTTTCTGCTGGCAGCTCTCATTCTCAAGGTGCGGGAGATAAGGAGGGGGAAAAAATCCCCATTTAAGAACTCGGCGTGTGCTTGTCTTTACCTCGCGCAGCTCTGCTTTTTCCAAAGCTCTACGTTCCAGCAATGCGCATGCGCAGCCCAAGCCGCCGGGGCAGCGTGAAAGGCTGGCGGAAGCGAGCTCTCTTTCCTCTTCCGGTGTGGGCGCCATCGCTGCCGCAGCTCCAGTAAGTTGAGGGGAAGCGGGGTCTTTGGCGCAATCCGTCGCCATCCTCTCGGGCCGGTTGGGAAGCCGCAGTGCCGAGGTGGTCGGGGGGCTGGGGTGGCTCTGCCCGACCGGGATGGGCTCGGGGGTGGCCTCGGGGGTCGCGCAGGGCTGAGTCTTGTCGGTGCTCGTCTTTCTCGGGTGGGAAGAATATACTTTAATGCGGGTCTCTGGGGATGGAAGGCCTTTGCTTCTCCCTATACTGTATCTTGTAGCGGGGGCAGTTTGGGGGATTTCCCCCCATACAATCAAGCGGCATATAAGGTTTTATGGAAGAAATAAAACGCAGGTCTCTTTTCAAATAAATCCCCCATGCTACTGCTGTTCTGCGTGCATTTCGTATAAATGTTATTTATTGAATTTGTATACCGCCCTTCAGCCTAGATCCCAGGGCGGTTCAGAACATAAAAACACAAAATGCATAATAAAAAAAGAACAAACCCTCCCAAATAAAGCTGCTCCCAATTAACACATTTCAAGGGGTAAATATTGAATCTAAACACACACAGAAGGTCCTGCGTAGCTTTCTCTCCTTACTCCGATTTCGTTGAGTCGGATTGGGGTATTTTAAGACACCTGCGTGATGTGGTGGTTAAGGGTACCTTGGAGATCTGGGTTCAGATCCACACACACACACCCCATAGCCATGAATTGCACTGGGTGGCTTTGGGCCCAGTCGTTGTGTTTCGGCTTGATCCACCTGGCAAGGTTGTGAGGATACAGTAAGGGAGGAGGAGAATCACGTGTGCCAGCTTGAGCTGCTTGGGGGAAAGGTGGGCTAAAAGTATTATATAAATATAATTAACAAGACCATAGGGCCTATGCATACTACGTATATAGGACTATAGGGAATAGGAGAGGAAACCCTGTCACCACTGCTGAGAGCCCAGTAGGTTAGAAAAAGATTGGTTAGCCCTTTTAAGTCCTTGGCTGCCGCCACCCCAGAGGAAATCCTGCATATTCATTCATTCATTTTTTAATTTTTATACCGTCTTTCTATCTTGCAGTGCTCAAGGTGGTTTACAAGGTGAAGAAAATGTACATCTTATAACAATCCAATGCAATACAAAAATGTGATAATAAAACAACTTTAAAATAGCCAACCTACATCAAAAAAGAAGCAATCAACAATCATTAGAATAGTACTAAATAATAATAATAACATATAAAACAGAAATCCACTCAACTGTTAAAATTAATAACTTCTAAACTATAATCAATAAAACAATGGCAAGCCACAGTACATAAAATAATACAATAAATTGAGAAGCAGAGACTAGAGGGTGGAGCAAGGCAGGTGGAAGGAGGCATTGTCGGACGAAGTCTCTCCCCTCACAGTTCTTCCTCCAGGCACAGCTTCTTTATGAGGAATATACTATTCTGTGCATACATATTGTACCCGTGTATGAGTTTTGGGGGAATGTTAATTTTTCAAATAGTGATGTGCAGGGATACGTCACAAGTGTGTTTGTTTACATTGTTCTTCCTCTCCTTTACAGAGATGGGCAAGTTTATGAAACCAGGGAAAGTCGTCCTTGTCCTCGCTGGGCGTTACTCCGGACGCAAAGCTGTTATTGTTAAGGTGAGAAAGTTGGACCTTGAGGAAAATGTATTTTTAGGAGCAGGAAGGCAGAAACTTCTGGCAGATGGAGGAATAAGGTCAAATCTCTCTAGGCCACTGTGGTTGCTGATGTGGTAGTACAGTGGTACCTCTAGATATGAACGAGATCCATTCCGGAGCCCCGTTCGCATCTAGAGGTAAACGTAACTAGTGATGGCACGTCTGCGCATGCACGTGTCACTTTTTGCCGCTTCTGCGCATGCGCATGACGTCATTTTGAGCGCCTGCCCATGCGCAAGCAGCGAAACCCGGAAGTAACACGCTCTGTTACTTCCGGGTTGCCGCGGAGCGCAACTCGAACGCGCAACTCGAAGCGTATTCAACCCGAGGTATGACTGTAAATTGCTCTGTATCCCTAGGTCCAGAACAGTGGAGAATATTTGGCGTTACCTTTTTAGCCACACAGCTAGAGCTCTTGCAGTGGCTTACAAAATTGTACAAAAGAGGCTGCTATCAACTAATAAAGTAAGGTCATAAGCCACAAAACCACAGAAGGCAGCGTAAAAATGGCATCATAACATTTGGTTGCCGGTCCCACTTACAGCAATGAAGTTGCTTTTGCCTGTTAGTGTGCCCCTGAATCTTTATTGAAGGTAGTTAATTGCATGCTAACTCTACTGTGCCTGATCCTTCTAACGAACCTCTTTTATACAGAATATTGATGATGGCACCTCTGACCGCCCCTACAGCCACGCTCTGGTGGCTGGCATCGATCGCTACCCACGCAAAGTGACAGCAAGCATGGGCAAGAAGAAGATTGCCAAGCGTTCCAAGATCAAGTCCTTTGTGAAGGTCTACAATTACAACCACTTGATGCCTACCAGGTGAGTGAGGAGCTTGATCAAAATATGCAAGAGGAAAGGAAAGTGGGAGACTTTGCTGTGTCCTTCCAGTACAGCCAGCATTGGCCTTTCTGGGTCCCTGCCTTCCCTGCCTTTGGGCATTAGGGGAGGCCAGGTGACAGGGCAGAACTGCCTTCAGACCTATAAACCACCTGTTATGGAAAAATCTAGGTGCGAGGCTGCTCAGTCACCCAGCTCTTCGGGCAGAGCCCGCGGGTCCCTGCGGAATAAAGGAAGAATTCCATCCAACCGGAGCAAATAGCTGTAGACCAAAGTTTATTGCGCAATAGGTTCAAAGAGCAAATTTGAACTCCAAGGATGGGGTGACAAAGACTTAAAACTTTCCCACCATATCCCAGAATACAGTTCGTACAGCATCATTGCTACATCACTGACATGTCACAAAAGGGGAGGGGTTAACCTTGGCAAACATGTCAAGACAAGTCCTTGGTACAAGATTAGCATAAGCAGACATGGCAGGGCAAGACTCAGGTATAAGATTAGCATAAACAAATATGTCTTAAGTACCAACCACCCAAAAGTACAATAGAAGTTCCTTTGTATGTCTGGAGCCTGAGGCGAGTCAGGTGATGAGATTTGGCTTCCTTTGGCTAACAATGAGCCCAGCAATTGTCACCTCTGGGAACTCCCTGGAGTCCTTTTTCAAGGGGAAAATAGCTTTGGAATGGAGGAAACTGGGAAAGGGGATGATTTTATATTATTTTTAAAGCTAGGTAACTTCCCTGAGCTGTCAAGTTGGAAGGATACATTCAGGCATAATATTTGTAATATTTAACTTTAAAGATGTGCTCTCCCCCGTAATTTCCGTAACGACCCCATTGTGTCTTTTGCCTAGGTACTCCGTTGATATTCCCCTTGACAAGACCGTTGTCAACAAGGATGTCTTTAGGGACCCTGCGCTGAAACGTAAAGCCCGGCGGGAGGCCAAAGTGAAATTTGAGGAGAGGTGAGTCTTCAGGAAAACACGTCCACTTTGGGGGTGTTGTGAGTTGTGGCTAGATACTTTTTATTACATGTGTATCCAGGTGAGCATAGAGATGTGCTTTACCTGTAAAGAGCAGCAGAGTCTGGGCCTTCAACCCTGGGTTTCCCACATCCTAAGCCTTGTCACCTAGTCCAGTGTTCCTCAGACAGTGGGCTGGGACCTGCCAGCAGGCCTTGAGCTGTTCTAGACTCACTTGTCTGCTCTCCCCCCATGGCATTGCCTTTTTGCTGAACCAATGCTAGCATCAGCCACACCTTGCATGCTGAGCAAAGGTGTCTAGAAGACAAAGGGAGGGTAGGTAGGTCTCCTTTGATAGGAGCGAGCCAGAGGAGGTATTGAACGACATTAGAAAGTGAGACAGCGGAGGCTGGTACATTAGGGGAACAGAAGCACTGCCCCACCAACCGCAGTTAGCCCCTGCCTGGCTCCTTTGCAGGGGGTGGCAACCCCCCCCCATCCGCTTCCTCCTCCATAGTCCCGGTGTTGCCCAACAGAATTCAACAGGAAGGAGGGTGGGCACAAAAGTTGGCTCTGGCAGCGTGGAGCTTCCCTTTCCAATCCCAATGGGTATCAGCCACTGCTTCCTTTTTAAAATGGAGCTGAGTTGCCTTAGCTGAAGGGAAACTGAACTGTGGAACTCCTTGCCACAGGGAAAACACTGGCATTTAGCAATTTCCAGAGGTGGAAAGAGATGTCAGTCATTGCCAGTTGATCCTGCAAATATGCTCCCGTTTTGTGACTGGAGGGCCTCAGTAACTTTTAGTCTTCTCAAGTGGGCCCTTGTGGAAGAAAGTTTGAAACGCCCTTACCTAATCCATTGCACACATCAACCGGCAGGGGCCTTGTGGTTTAGGTTATGACATCCTTGTATGTTGGGCAGTTTGAATCTCGTTTGATGCTGGGCTGCTGCTCACATAATGATACTAACAGGAGATCTTTGTTCATTCTCTTTCAGATACAAGACAGGCAAGAACAAGTGGTTTTTCCAGAAGCTCAGATTCTGAGTGGCATGCATTTGCACCAATAAATATTTTTGAAAAGCCCATTTTTCCTCATTCTTTATTGTCAACACCCTCTCTCTTGTGGATTAATTGGGGGAATGGAGGGAAGAGAAGTAAAACACTATGGGGCTGTGAAAATCTTGTGTAAGATTTCTTCTTAAGAAGAGCCGCAGGATCGGACTGCTGGCCCATCTTGTCCAGCATTCCATTCTCACAGTGGTCAACTAGATGCATGTGAGAAGCCGCCTTCTTGGGAGGTTTTTAAGCAGAGGTTGGATGGCTATGGATGCGTTAGATGAGACTCCTGCGTTGCAGGGGTTGGGCTAGATGATCCCTGGGGACCCTTACAACTCTATAGTTCTGTGATAAGCCCAGAAGCAGGACATTAGTACAGTAGCAGTCATGTAGATGTCACTGCCCAGGAGAAGGTTTTTTTTAGGCAACTGCATGAAATAATAAGGTATTATTACTCCCCACATAGGAACTTTGAACTTCGAGTGGTGGTTTAATTGCAGGAACAATTTTCAGGGTCCCAAAATGTGGAAAAAGTATACAACAAATATAGGTGTTGATCTCCATACATAACCCACAAAACAGGTTTTGTGTACTTTGCATTGCTTTTCCTTTGCACCCAGCTTGAACCAGGGTCTCTGCCTACCTAGGTGTAAGGAAGTGTGAGAGCCATGTAAATCTGTTTGGATTTTGAAGTGTTTGGGTTCTGTCTTCCCACCCAGAGTGGGATGGGGAGCTCACTGCGGTGGATGCATTATAGCTGGCATGACGGAAAAAGGAAAGGGGGATTCCTTGTGTATTGGGGTCTTCATGTGCTTTCTCCTATTACCCTCTCTGCAACTTTCCCATCTGCTTCCTTTAGATTTGAGGGTCTGTCTTAGGCATGGGGTACTCCCTCAGGTGGAGCACACGTGTTCATCCTGGGGCAGTTTGTCCATCTTTGGTCCCCACCATGCACTCCTCTCTCACCTGTGGCTCCTAGAAGCTTTCAGCTTGTGACAGCAGCCGCATCCCAGAAACTGCTTCAACTGGCAGACTAAACCAGGACAGGGTAGTTGATGGGTCTCAAACCCTGGGTGAGTTAGGGATTTCCCCTGCATGTGCAGACAGGCTCTGGAGGATTGGGTTAAGGCGGTTTCTGCACATTCTGCAGAGGGAAGTGAGGGCAGGTGGGGTTTGGCAAACCTTGGAAAGTAGGAAGGAAAACTGATCCTAAACCTCTGCTGCCTTACGGGATATCCCTGGGGGAAGAAAAGGCTTAAGGAGTGGAGTCCCTAAGACAGTTGGCCTCCTTCCGGTAACTGCAGCCTAGGTAAAGGGACCCCTGACAAATAAGGTCCAGTCGTGGCCGGCTCTGGGGTTGCGGCGCTCATCTCGCTTTACTGGCCGAGGGAGCCGGCGTACAGCTTCCGGGTCATGTGGCCAGCATGACTAAGCCACTTCTGGCGAATCAGAGCAGCGCACAGAAATGCTGTTTACCTTCCCGCCAGAGTGGTACCTCTTTATCTACTTGCACTTTGACGTGCTTTCGAACTGCTAGGTGGGCAGGAGCAGGGACCGAGGAACAGGAGCTCACCCTGTCGCGGGGATTCGAACCACCGACCTTCTGATCGGCAAGTCCTAGGCCAGGGGTCTGCAACCCGCGGCTCCGGAGCCGCATGTGGCTCTTTTACACCTTTGCCGCAGCTCCGGGGCAGATACTAGCGAGGGGAGGAGGCGCATTGTGCGCCCCGACACTCCCCACTGTGGCGGGCGCTGTACTGGCTGTGACGTCGCATGGGGGCGGTGCGTGCGTTAGTCACGCACCGTCCCGACGTCACCTTCCCGTCCGCTGTCAGATCGGACATTAAGGTAAGAAACAATATATGCAGTGTTATATTTGTTTTAAATGTCGCAGTGGTTTTGCGGCTCCCAGTTTTTTTTCCTTCGGAAACTGGTCCAAGTGGCTCTTTTTGTCTTAAAGGTTGCAGACCCCTGTCCTAGGCTCTGTGTTTTAACCCACAGCACCACCTGCGTCCCCGCCTAGTTGGTGCCAAACGTACTCCTCTGATTTCCTTTGGACCACATCAGTGGTCTTGTTGTCTGGGCAGCCCAGGACCTCCAGGCACACTGCCCAGCCTAGTGCCCCAGGGAGGTTATTTCAGCGCTGCTAGTGCAGCCAAAACAACGTGGTTGGCAGCAGTTACCAGTTATGGGTCTCTGCAGTCACAGTAGGTACTGTGATTCTCCAGCGATTCCCAGAAGAGCACTCCATTGTCTCTCAAGACAGATGAATGCCAATAATAATAATAATAATAATAATAATAATAATAATAATAATTTATTATTTATATCCCGCCCATCTGGCTGGATTTTCCTCGCCACTCTGGGCGGCTTCCAACAGAACACTAAAATACAATAACCTATTAAACATTAAAAGCTTCCCTAAACAGGGTTGCCTTCAGATGTCTTCTAAAAGTCTGGTACAGTGGTACCTCGCAAGACGAATGCCTCGCAAGACAAAAAACTTGCTAGACGAAACGGTTTTTTGCTTTTTGAGCTGCTTCGCAAGACGATTTTCCCTATGGGCTTGCTTCGCAAGACGGAAATGTCTTGCAAGTTTGTTTCCTTTTTCTTAACACCGTTAATACAGTTGCGACTTGACTTCGAGGAGCAACTCATAGAACGTGGTGTGGTAGCCTTTTCCGAGGTTTTTAAAGACTTTGGTGATTTTTGAAGCTTTTCCAAAACTTTCCCGACACCATGCTTCGCAAGATGAAAAAAATCGCAAGACAACAAAACTCGCAGAACGAATGTATTTCGTCTTGTGAGGCACCACTGTAGTTATTTTTCTCTTTGACATCTGGTGGGAGGGCATTCCATATGGCGGGTGCCACTACCAAGAAGGCCCTCTGCCTGGTTCCCTGTAACTTGGATTCTCGCAATGAGGGAACCGCCAGAAGGCCCTCGGTGCTGGACCTCCGTGTCTGGGCAGAACGATGGGGGTGGAGACGCTCCTTCAGGTATACTGGTCAAGGCCGTTTAGGGCTTTAAAGGTCAGCACCAACACTTTGAATTGTGCTCGGAAACGTACTGGGAGCTAGTGTAGGTCTTTCAAGACCGGTGTTATATGGTCTCGGCGGCCGCTCCCAGTCACCAGTCTAGCTGCTGCATTCTGGATTAGTTGTAGTTTCCGGGTCACCTTCAAAGGTAGCCCCACGTAGAGCACATTGCAATAGTCCAAGCGAGAGATAACTAGAGCAGTGTTTCCCAACCTTTTTTGGGCAAAGGCACACTTGTTTCATGAAAAAAATCTCGAGGCACACCACCATTAGAAAATGTTTAAAAAATTAACTCTGTGCCTATATTGACTATATATAAAGTAACTCTCTTTAATAGGAATCAAATAAACACAAAGATAGTATTTTATAATTACAGTGGTGCCTCGCAAGACGAAATTAATTCGTTCCGCAAGTCTCTTCGTCTTGCGAGTTTTTCGTCTTGCGATGCACGGTTTCCCATAGGAATGCATTGAAAATCAATTAATGCGTTCCTAGGGAAACCGCCTTCAGACCAGGTCCGGGGACAGTCTGTCCCCCGACCTCTTCTGAAGGCTGGGGGGGGGAAAAGGGCTTTTCTTCCCACCCCCAGCATTTTATAAAATCCCGGGACAGCGGAGGACGTCTCCGCTGTCCGGGGCGATCTTAAAATGCTGACGGGCGGCATTTTAAAATCGCCCGGGACAGCGGAGGACTTCTCCGCTGTCCGGGGCGATTTAAAAGCCCCTGGGAAGGCAGGCAGGGGGGACAAAGACTTTCACCCCCGCCAGCCTTCAGAAGAGGTCCTGGACCTCTTCTGAAGGCTGGCGGGGGGCGAAAGTCTTTGCTCCCCCCCCCCTGCCTTCAAAAGCCCTCCGGGACAGCGGAGAAACGCAGCGCGTTTCTCCGCTCTCCCGGGAAGGCAGGCAGGGGGGAGCAAAGACTTTTGCCCCCCGCTGGCCTTCAGAAGAGGTCCTGGACCTCTTCTGAAGGCTGGCGGGGGCGAAAGTCTTTGCTCCCCCTGCCTGCCTTCAAAAGCTGACCGGCCCAGGCTTCGCGGACCTCTCCGCAAGCAGCGGCAGCACTGCTGCTGCTTGCGGACAGGTGCCAGCATGCCGAAGCCTGGGCGCGCCGAGATCAGCGCGCCCAGGCTTCCCGCCCCGCCGCCCGGGATCGGGGCATCGTCCCGATGGCTAGCGGCGGCGGAGGCGTCCCCCCCCCCCGCCGCCCGGGATCGGGGCATCGTCCCGATGGCGGGCGGCGGCGGAGGCGTCCCCCCCCCGCCGCCCGGCATCGGGGCATCGTCCCGATGGCGGCGGCGGCGGAGGCGTCCCCCCCCCCGCCGCCCGGCATCGGGGCATCGTCCCGATGGCGGGCGGCTGCGGAGGCGTCCCCCCCCCGCCGCCCGGCATCGGGGCATCGTCCCGATGGCGGGCGGCGGCGGAGGCGTTCCCCCCCCGCCGCCCGGGATCGGGGCATCGTCCCGATGGCGGGCGGCTGCGGAGGCGTTCCCCCCCCCGCCGCCCGGCATCGGGGCATCGTCCCGATGGCGGGCGGCTGCGGAGGCGTTCCCCCCCCGCCGCCCGGGATCGGGGCATCGTCCCGATGGCGGGCGGCTGCGGAGGCGTTCCCCCCCCGCCGCCCGGGATCGGGGCATCGTCCCGATGGCGGGCGGCGGAGGAGGCGTTCCCCCCCGCCGCCCGGGATCGGGGCATCGTCCCGATGGCGGGCGGCGGAGGAGGCGTCCCCCCCCCGCCGCCCGGGATCGGGGCATCGCGCGCGGAGCCTGGCTCGGGTCGCCAATGCTGCGGGCGGACATGGCGAGCTGGGCGGGATTCGGGCGCGCGCTGGGCGCCTGCTGCCTCCTGGGCCTCTTCTGCGGCGCTGCGCTGCCCTTCTCGCTGCAGGGCGCGAACGAGAAAGCGCCCGCCTCCCTCCCACGGCACACCAGGTAACGTCTCGCGGCACACTAGTGTGCCGCGGAACACCGGTTGGGAAACACTGAACTAGAGCATGCACCACTCTGGCAAGACACTCCACGGGCAGGGAGGGTCTCAGCCTGTGTACCAGATGGAGCTGATAAACAGCTGCCCTGGATACAGATTTGACCTGTGCCTCCATGGACAGCTGTGAGTCCAAAATGACTCCCAGGCTGCGCACCTGGTCCTTCAGGGGCACAGTTACCCCATTCAGGACCAGGGAATCCTCCACACCTGCCCGCAGACTGTCCCCCCCAAAACAGTACTTCTGTCTTGTCAGGATTCAATCTCAATCTGTTAGCCGCCATCCATCCTCCAACCGTCTCCAGACATGGTTGGCATGGAAGTGCAGAACAAATGGGAGCACTTGAGCAAATCCGTTGCTAACACTGTTCTCCAGTGCTTTTCTCTTGTCGAGCTGCCCCTCTGAAATGCTGACAGTGCACCTCTGAGCATGAGCAGAGTACGGGCTCTACTCTGGAGTGAAGAAAGCTTGTCAATAGCCCATGAAAATAATAAGATGCACCCCCCCACACACACACACCCTGCTAGTAAATACATAATTGCTTAGCTGTGGGTGCTGATTTATTTTGTGGTGAGGGCACTTTGCACATGTTCATTGCAATTTCAACACTTCTATGCTGAACTCCGATATTAGACATGCAATCTGCAGTCGTCCGGGCTATATAGCAGGGATAAGGGGAAAAGTTTAAAGACAAGGCAATCCGTTATTCCAAAACAATCTCTCCGTTGAGATCGGAAACTGGCAGGTTGCTCCTCGGAAATCCCAGATTAAACACACAAATTCTGATTCATTAGTTCAACAAATCCTCTCAATTTCTGTTTAATTTGGAATACAGAAAGGGGAGGTATGAGGAGGTCGGGGAAGTAAGTTATAAGAAAATAAGGGATGGAAAGTATACTTGTTTTGTTTGTGTCTTGTTTGTATTATTGTTTTTTTTCTTTGTATAACTTTTGAAACTTTAATAAATATCTTTTTTTTAAAAAAAATAAACACACAAATTCTGGGGACCAAATAGATCCCTTCTTACAATTCTATGCTGAGATTCCTGCATGGCAAATGGGGGGTTGGACTAGATGACCCGGGGTCCCTTCTTCCAACGCCACAAAGGCGCACCCATCCTGCCTGGGGAGCGGACTTCCCGCTTCGGGGCGGGGCTTGGTTGGGGGGAGGAGGCTTTGAACAGCTGGAAATCGAAAGTGGAAGCGACGCAAGGAGGCCAGCAGCTGCTGGGGAAGGTAAGGTCGCTAGTTTGGGGGGTGGGGGGCTTGTAGGCCTGATCCGCTTCTGTCCCCAAACTGCAGCACCCAAACGCTCCGCTTTGCGCTTGGATGGAGGTGTCCGTGCGCGCCCTCCGCGCGCCGCCTGCCTCTCGACGCCGGACCGTAGGGCGAGGTCAGGATGAGTCCCCCGTAGGGGCGGCGGGTTGGGGGGCGGGACAGCAACCATTGCACTTGAAGCCTGGAGTTCGGGACCGGGCACTGTGAATTCAGCAAGCAGGGCGGGTTTCATGGGAGAAGCCAAGGGGGGCAGGGAGTGGCGGCTGCCCTCCAAAATCAATAATCAATACATGGCAAACCGAGGTTCTGGCCCACGACAAAAATCCTGGCTGCTCCCATGGCGGGTCTCCACTTTTCCGGTGTCAAGTTTCTAGTCCGTATGGCCGAGGAAGAGAGGCATAGCGGCGTGCAGGGAAACGGAGGCGAGGGATGCCGCGGAACAAGGAATCTCTGGATAAAGACGGGAGTTTTAGGGATCTAAGCTCTTTGTGCTGATCTAGGGCAGCATTTCCCAACCTTGGGTCTCCAGCTGTTTAAGGACTACAACTCCCATCATCCCTAGCTAGCAAGACCGGTGGTCTGGGACTATGGGAATGGGAGTCCCAAAACAGCTGGAGACCCAAGGCTGGGAAACACTGCTCTAGGGTATGTGAAGCAGAATAAAGTATGCAAAGCAGATGCATATTTGCATAATAAAACCGAATTAGATTCTGCCCCCCCCCCCGCCCTGGGTGGTATTTGGGTTACCTGTGTTTTGTATTAAAGTGCACTGCAAGCGCAGCCCTTCTGTTTTCTTCCAGGTGTGTCAACAGGATGGATTCAGATGAGGTGAGCAGGCAACAGATAAGACAACTAAGAATCTGCCTCTGTGTGGCACCCAGAGGAGGGATGAGGACTAAGCAGTACATATTTAAAGCAATATCACACTACTTTAAATAATCTTGGCTTTCCCCAAAGAATCTTGGGAATTGTAGTTTGCTAAGGGTGCTGCTGGCAGTTGTTTGGCACCCCTTATTCCTCTCACGGAACTACAGTTCCCAGAATGATTTAACAATCAATCCCTCTTCCAAGGGAATTCTGGATACCAAAGCTTTGTAATAGAGGGGTCTGCTAACGGCTCTCAGCACCCTGAACAAACTACAGTTCCCAGGATTCTTTGGGGGAAGCCATGAAGGTTTAAAGTGGTTTGTTGTTTTTTTTAATTTCGTAAAATATATAGGCCATTTGATTGTAAAAAAAAATAAATCTCAAAGTGGTTTTGAAAAAGATAAAAACAGGGGAATCAAGGAAAAAATAGAATTAAAAAATTAAAATAGTAAGATTCAAACTTACACCAGCATTCCTTAGCCTCTGGATCAGCTTGCTGCTTTAAATGTAGTGCATTGAGCCCAGGATCTGCTGGGAAACCTCTGAGCTATTCGCAGTAAAACATCAAGTATTTCTGACACAAAGGGACGCAGGTGGCGCTGTGGGTAAAACCTCAGTGCCTAGGACTTGCCGATCGTATGGTCGGTGGTTCGAATCCCCGTGGCGGGGTGAGCTCCTGTTGTTCGGTCCCAGCGCCTGCCAACCTAGCAGTTCGAAAGCACTCCCGGGTGCAAGTAGATAAATAGGGACCGCTTACTAGCGGGAAGGTAAACGGCGTTTCCGTGTGCGGCTCTGGCTCGCCAGAGCAGCAATGTCACGCTGGCCACGTGACCCGGAAGTGTCTCCGGATAGCGCTGGCCCCCGGCCTCTTGAGTGAGATGGGCGCACAACCCTAGAGTCTGTCAAGACTGGCCCATACGGGCAGGGGTACCTTTACCTTTACCTTATTTCTGACACAGTTGTTTTAAGAACAGCAGCAACAAAATGACCCCCTTAAATTATCCTGCTGAAATTATGAACGCTAAATGAAATCAGGACTGGGTTTTCACGTGGATAGACTTCACCAGCCCTTTCTTAAGCCCCCTAAACCAGTGCCATTCCCACCTCTGGTGGTGGCACATGGACATGAATTAATTTTATGTTGCGTGAAGAAGAAAATACTACCCACCCTCTGCTTACTGACCACTGATTTCCTTGGATTCCTTGTAAGGCTGCGTCTTATGTTAATTAGTGCCACTGGTTCCCTTGCTTGGGTGCAAAAGTTGCATCCATATTTAACTTGCCCGTCAGGGGCTAGCAGCAGCTATCCAGTCCTTCCAAACCACTTGGACTGGCAGCTGAGAGCCTCCCAGTTAACCTTAAAAAGGTAAAGGAACCCTGACACTTAAGTCCAGTCGCAGACAAATCTGGGATTGTGGCGCTCATCTCGCTTTACTGGCCAAGGGAGTCTGCAGACAGTTTTTCCGGGTCATGTGGCCAGCATGACTAAGCCGCTTCTGGCGCAATGGAACACCAAAACCAGAGCAGCGCAGGGAAACACCATTTGCCTTTCCGCTGGAGCGATACCTATTTATCTACTTGCACTTTGATGTGCTTTTGAACTGCTAGGTTGGCAGGAGCAGGGACGAGCAATGGGAGCTCACCCCATCGCAGGGATTTGAACCATCAACCTTCCGATTGGCAAGTCCTAGGCTCAGTGGTTTAGACCACAGCGCCACCCACGTCCCAAGTTATCCTTAAAGGTAAAGGTAAAGGGACCCCTGACCATTAGGTCCAGTTGTGACTGACTCTGGGGTTGCGCTGCTCATCTCGCTTTATTGGCCGAGGGAGCCGGCGTACAGCTTCCGGGTCATGTGGCCAGCATGACTAAGCCGCTTCTGGTGAACCAGAGCAGCGCACGGAAACACCGTTTACCTTCCCGCCGGAGCGGTACCTATTTATCTACTTGCACTAGCGTGCTTTCGAACTGCTAGGTTGGCAGGAGCTGGGACTGAGCAACGGGAACTCACCCCGTCACGGGGATTCGAACCGCCAACCTTCTGATTGGCAAGTCCTAGGCTCTGGTTTAACCCACAGTGCCACCCGCATCCCCCAGTTAACCTTACTTTAGTACTAATAGGGGGTGACACCGTTTGCTGTCCACTGATCTTGTCTTTGGATGAATCCCATGAGGGAATCCTGTGACTCCCTTGGCTTGTTTTGCTCGCCTCTATGCATTCCTGTAATCCCCTGCTCCACGGTTAAGCCACTGTTGGTGTGTGCTCTTTAGAGAATAGATCCTTTTCCATATCAAAACTGCATGCCTCTCTGCTAAACATGTTTGTTGCATCTTCCTTCAGAGTGATATGAGAAACCTTGATTCAAGTGTGCCGCTTTCAAGTACAGTGGTACCTTGGGTTACATTCGCTTCAGGTTACATACGCTTCAGGTTACAGACTCTGCTAACCCAGAAATAGTGCTTCAGGTTAAGAAATTTGCTTCAGGATGAGAACAGAAATCATGCTCCGGAGGCCCCAAAACCTAAAGTGGTGCTTCAGGTTAAGAACAGTTTCAAGTTAAGAACGGACCTCCAGTACGAATTAAGTTCTTAACCCGAGGTACCACTGTACAGTCGTACCTCTGGTTGTAAATGTGATCCATGCGGGAGACACGTTCGCAGCCTGACACAATGTGTCTGCACATGTGCATGACGCGATTTGGCGCTTCTCCGCATGTGCATGACGTTATTTTGTGCTTCTGCGCAAGTGCCGAAACCTGGAAATAACCCGTTCTGGTACTTCCGGGTTCGGTGCTGTCCACAACCCGAAAACGCGCAACCCGCAGTGTTCGCAACCTGAGGTATGACTGTATGCATGTCGCCGCCTCACATGGCAGTTCGGGCAGCTCTGTGTGTTTACTTTAATAAGTTGATATATTTACCAAGTGATCGATAGTTCGTCCCCTTCTCAAATTGGCCAAGATGTATAAGAAGAACTCAGACGTTTGCTGGAGATGCAAAAAAGGGGGTAGGTACCTTCCGGCACATGTGGTGGGACTGCGTGAAGATACGAGAATTCTGGGACATAATATATAACAAACTCAAAAAGATATTTAAATTCTCCTTCAGAAAACCCCCAGAAGCCTTTCTGTTAGGCATTATGTCTACCAAAATACAAAAAAAATCTATAGAACCTTTTTTATGTATGCAACCATGGCGGCCAGAATTTTAATAGCAAAAAATTGGAACGGTGACTCAACCCCCACAAAAATTGACTGGCAGGAGAAGATGATAGACTATTTAGAACTTGTGAAAACGACTGGGAGATTAAGAGGAAACTCAAACCAGAAAGTGAGTAAAGATTGGACATTATTCAAAGAATATCTAAAAAAGTATTGTGAAAATGAAAATCTCCTGACAGGTCTGGACTGAATCTTGAATAATGAGGAAATTATAAAAGCAAAAATCTCCTTTTGATATGCAACAGTTAAAAAATAAGGAAGTGTGACTAGACCAATAATGTGTAAAAAGTACAATGAGGTGAATCAGAAGTCAAAAGTGTGTGTGATGCCAAATTTTATGTTGTTCGTTAGTGTTTAGTTGTTATGAGGTTATGGTGTTGGTTGGTTTGTGTTGTTTTTTATGTAGTGTGTAAATTGTTCTGCAATAAAGCTTTAATAAAAATAATGAAAAGTACCGTATTTTTTGCTCTAGAAGACTCACTTTTTCCCTCCTAAAAAGTAAGGGGAAATGTGTGTGCGTCTTATGGAGCAAATGCAGGCTGCGTAGCTATCCCAGAAGCCAGAACAGCAAGAGGGATTTCTGGTTTCGCTGCGCAGTGATCCCTCTTGATGTTCTGGCTTCTGGGATTCAGAATATTTTTTTGTTTGTTTTCCTCCTCCAAAAACTAGGTGCCTCTTATGGTCTGGTGCATCTTATAGAGCGAAAAATACGGTAGTTAGTCCCCTTCTCCCCGTCCCCAGCATGTCCCATAAGTTTTTGAACTCACCTCCACGCTCCTGCTGCGTGGAGGCAGGAGGCCCTGGGCTGTGAACGAACATCCTTTTGTTCTGTTCTTCAGGACTCCTTCATCTACCTGCCCTGTCCAGGAATTTCAGCAAGTGAGACACTGGAGGCAGAACAAATCTTGAAATGGCAGGTACTCATCTTTGGGAACAGCAGTCGTCTCTCATGTCGAAAGTGAAATGTGTTGGTGTACAGAAGCTTTCCTCAAAGCTCTTTCCTTTATTTTTATTTTATTTTTAATTGCTTTTTATTTTAAACAGGGTGGATAAAAACCAATGATTTTTTTAAAAATAAAATAAATTGAATTTTTAAAAATTGAAATCAGATATTTTTTATTGAAATCGGATTTTTAAAATAAAATGGTTTTGCAGGGAAAAATCTTTCTAAAGATCATTTTCTATTTAAGTTACATTCTACTCCAAAGGCTATTCATCAGGAAATAAGGGTTTGTTTTAAGTTTTTCATGTGTGCTAAAACTCAATCTAAGTTTTTCTTTTTTTTAAAAAAAGAAATTGTTTAACCACATCAGAAAAGTTGTCCAAATGTAAACAGTTAACTTATTAAACCTCAAAATAATTTCATAATTATCTGTCTATGTCTTTCTAATAGTATAACCAAATCAGTAATTTTTGATATGACTGTAAACAACTACTCTGAAAATTTATTATTCCAAAAATTAAAACTTCCTCTGGTTGTAAATATGCAAGAATGAGTCCTTCTGTAAAAAAAAATGATTTAAATCAAGTCTTACTGACTTGTGTTTTAAATCGAGATTTAAATTGATTTGATTTGATTTAAATCAAATCCACCCTGGTTTTAAATTTATTCTCTGCATGTTTATGTTGGAGGGGGATTTCCAGCCGGTGGCAGAGGACAGAGTGACTCCAGGAGACATAGGTGTAAAACCCAAACTAAAACGAAGACTTTATTACTAAGCAAATAAACACAAACTCTGGTGGATGTTATTCCTGCAGGCAAGCAACAAAACTCAGCTTTTTTCCTTTATAGCAATGGTCACCTGCAGCCAATTAATCCCAGAAACTTCTTAAAGGTATACACACATGTTTCTGTGCCGAATGTCCTCTAACACCCCCTCTCATTCAAACAGAAACAATAGTATTTTAAACAGAACAGAACATATTTACATATCACACACAGCAACTCCCAACTTTGCTACCAGTCGTGCATGTTTTTCAAAGGTTAACGCTTTTGTAAATACATCTGCCACATTATGTGCACTTTCACAATACTTCAGCATTATCTGGTTCTGTTTTACATTTTCAGCTACATTTTGATATTTAATTTCTAAATGCTTTGATTTGTTTCTAAACTGGTCAGATCCAGACAAGGTTATTACGGCTTGATTATCTTCCATAATTTGAACGGGATAATCACACTGTACGTTTATATCCTTGAGGATCTGAACATAAAATTTAACTTCATTACATAATTCCGACAATGCACAGTATTCGGCCTCAGTTGATGATGTGGCCACTATACTTTGTTTTTTGGATTTCCAACCTATCAAAGAATCCCCAAATTGAAATACCATTCCAGAAATTGATTTTTTATCAGGCAGGTTGGCCCAATCGCTGTCAACGTAACACTGCAATTTGGTGGACCCTGAAGATGGTAATCTTAAACAATAATCAAGTGTTTGCTTTAGATACCGGAAAATGCGTTTTAAACCTTTCCAGGCATTTTCTGTAGGACAGCTTACTAGTCTGCTTAGTATTCCAACTGCATAACTCAAATCTGGTCTGCTCCACAATGAAATGTATAATAAACTTCCAATTATTGAATGGTACATTTCAGGATTTACAGGTTCTGTGCATTCTCCTTCATTTTTGAAAAAAACCTATTTCCATTGGGGTTTTTACTCCCTTGCAGTTTTGCATATTGTTTCTTTCAAGTAACTCCATTATTTTGTCTTTTTGATTCAACAAAAAACTTCCATCGTTTGTTCTTTGAATTTCTAAACCGAGATAATTTTTTACTGGACCCAAATCTCTTACTTTAAATACCTTTCTTAGTTGTTCTGCAAATTTTTCCACTTGCTTGTCACCTTTTGTAGAGTAAAGCAAATCATCAACATAACACAAACACAATTCTTGTTTATCACCCTTTCCTTTAGTGTACAAGCAGTTATCAGCTAAGCTTCTTTTAAAACCAAGATTTTTTAAAGCATTATCAAGACACTCGTTCCAATTTCTAGCTGACTGTTTGAGCCCATAAATTGCTTTGTTCAGCCTATATACAGAATTCTGTTCTCCTGCCTCAAAACCTGGCGCTTGATTCATAAAAATTTCTTCTTGCAGATTTGCGTTAAGATAAGCTGTTTCAATATCAAAATGGTTTACCTTAAACCCACGTTGTGCTGCAAGAGCTAGCAATAAGCGTACACTTTCACTCCTTGCAGTAGGAGAAAAGGTTTCATCAAAGCTTTCACCTTTTCTTTGAGTAAAGCCTCGTGCTACCAGCCTGGCTTTGTACTTAACATCACCATCTGCCAAATGTTTTATTTTATACACCCATCTACAGCCCACTGCCTTTTTTCCTTCTGGCAATGGCTCAATGGTAAAGACATTGTGTTCTGCTAAAGATTTCATTTCTGCTTTCATTGCATTTTTCCACCTTACTATTTCCTGGTGTGGTAACTTTAAAACTTCCTCATAATCACGAGGTTCCTTTTTCACATCAACAGTTTTAGCTTCTTGTATAGTAAACCTTTCTGGAGGTACCCCCTTATTGCTTCTTTGTGACCTTCTAACTTGAACACTCTCCCCCTCTGAACTATCTTCCCCTTCTGATTCATCCTGCTCAGGAGAAATTGGTTCAGCTTTAGGAGATTGTGTACTGGGATCCTCATCCCCTGAATCCTCATCACTGTCACTTTCAGAACCTTCTTTAATTTGTGGCTTTTCTTCCTCAGATTTCACAAATTTATCTGTATCATCAGAAGATAACACAACTTCTGAATTTCCATGTAAACGAACCCAACCATCTTGCTCACAAAACTCTGCATGTCTTGATATTACAACTCTGCCACGCCCTAGTGCAAAACGATACCCCTTTGACCAAGTTTGATAGCCAACAAACCTAAGTTTCTTTGCCTTGGGCTCTCCTTTCCTTCTCTGTCCTTTTGGGATGTGAACCCAAGCCCAGCAACCAAAAGTTTTAACATGGTCCAAAAAGGGTTTTTTTCCATAAAGCAAAAATGAGGGGTGTTGTTTATGGTAGAATGAAACAATCTGTTCTGTATGTAGTTAGCACACAGAATTCCTTCCCCCCAATACTTCCTGGATAGGCCAGAATCACATAGCATTGAATCTAGCATTGTTTGTAAAGATCTTATCTTGCGTTCTGCAACTGAATTTTCTTCAGGCGAAAAAGGACACGATTTACGGTGACTAATACCACGCTTTTTCAACCAAACTTGGAGGGCTTCAGACATAAACTCGCCTCCACGGTCACTTTGCAACTGGGTAACTTTGTAGGGAAACTGCCTTTCTATATAGTTGATCCAATTCTTAATCAGTTGACCAGTTTCACTTTTGTGTTTTAACAAATATACCCAAGTATACCGGCTATAATCATCCACAAGAACCAAAAAAAACTTTGCTCCTCCTTCAGACTCTGCAAATGGCCCACAAAGGTCTGAATGTACTAAAGCAAATGGCCTCTTGCTAATTCTAGTACTTTCAGGATAAGACCCTCGCTTACTTTTAGACTCCTTGCAGGTATTGCAGTCTAGAAAAACTGAACATTTTTTCATTTTAATTCCCTTGCTTAATTCTGGCATTTTTGCAATACTGCGGAAATTGGCATGCCCCAAACGACGATGCCACAGATGCTGGCACTCATCATGCAAGGCTCTATTACAGGCTTTAACACATGCCCCAGACTCACTTACTAGCTGGTCTTTCAAAACAAACAAACCATTTTGCAGTGACGCTGTAACCACTTTTCCAGCTTTCTCTATTCTACAGCCTGAACCAGAAAAGGTTACTTTAAATCCCTGCTTAACAAGACTTGTAACTGAAAGCAAATTATTTTCTAAACTTGGTACACATAAAACATTGGTAAACTTGGTACTTAAACAGTTGATATTCACACTACCCTTTCCAGCTGACTCATGCACTGTTCCATCAGCTAGTACTACATTTACAGATTTACAAGGCTGCTTTTCTACAAGGGTTTGTGCAGACTTAACAAAAATGTTTGTCGCTGCTGAGTCTAAAATCCAGTCTTGTCCAACGTCGTGACTGGTGCCTCGAACTGCTGCAGAAACATACTGGACTTGACTCTTCCTGTCTCCTCGCTTCCCAGCAAACGCAGGCCGCCCTTGTCTTGTATTTTCTCCCACAGACACAGTGCACTGTCGTACTAAATGCTTGGTTGACCCACAACGATAGCATCTTCTAACTGTGAACGCTGCTTCCTCTCTGTGGTTTACAACCTCTTTAGGTTGCCGCTCCTCATCAGTTGCATATCTTTTACTGGACTGCCTCCCATTTCTGGAGTTACGGTGAGGGGTTGTGGCCTTCCTCTCATGGCGTCTTTCCTCCTCATCAAGCAAACGCCCAGTTAAGAAATGCATTGTTAATTGGCTTTCTGGGATTGCTTCCAGAGTCATCACTAAATTGTCCCATGACTCAGGAAGTGAAGACAGCACAATATAAACCTTTCTCTGTTCAGAAAAATGTTCCCCAAGTTCATTTAACTGTGAAAACAAATCACGCATTCTTTGAAGGTGTGTTGAAACACATTCACCCTCCCTTAGTCTGGCTCGGTACAGAGCTCTCGTTAGAGTAATTTTGCTGCCAGCAGTGTCTCTAATATGTATTGCTCTCAGTGCTTGCCAAATCTCACTTGCTGTTTCAAGGTCTCGCACATGAGATAACTGAGACTTCTCTAAACTCAAAATTAAATTGGCATAGGCTTTGTCCTCCAGCCTTTGGTCTGCTTCATCTACTTCTTCATCCTCCTCTTTTACAGGAGGGTTAACAATAACAGTCCAACATTGTTCTTTCTTTAAAAACGCCTGCATCTGTAAACTCCGTGACATATAATTGGACTCTCCCAGTTTCTCTACTGGAAAATAGGAAGCTCCCCCTTGAGCTCCAGTTCCAAGTCCAGCCATGGCACCACCCAGCTTTCAGCTTTCCACTCAGTTCTTACTCACACGTGGCTTGAAGAAATGTTCGGCTCCTGGTCCCAAACAGACACTCCCTGCCGATGCCTTCACACAGCCAGCTGCTTGAGAAACGCTGAGTTGCTTCCAGTCTCTGGGTTCTTTTCACGCTCTGTCTCTGCCCACTCAGGACTGGGGACTGGGCCCATAACCTGTTGGAGGGGGATTTCCAGCCGGTGGCAGAGGACAGAGTGACTCCAGGAGACATAGGTGTAAAACCCAAACTAAAACGAAGACTTTATTACTAAGCAAATAAACACAAACTCTGGTGGATGTTATTCCTGCAGGCAAGCAACAAAACTCAGCTTTTTTCCTTTATAGCAATGGTCACCTGCAGCCAATTAATCCCAGAAACTTCTTAAAGGTATACACACATGTTTCTGTGCCGAATGTCCTCTAACAGTTTACTCAGAAGCAAAATCCACTCTGTTTAGTGGGGACCACCCCGAGGTTAGCATGCCTAGGACTGTGGCCCCCAAAGTATAAGTGCATTACTTTTGTGCTAGCAAAACTGCAAATATATACCCGATATTAGAGAGGGAGCTCCACCTTATGCTTCTTAAATATTTGTGTTTGCCACCTGAAAAGCTGAAAGAAACAATAGATAACACAAACTTCGTAGTAAACAAAAGGAAACCTATTATGTGGACAGAAACTTTCTCATATAGTATTAAAGACCATCCCCCTGATTGGATATTCTCAATTTCCCATTTTTCCTACTGGAAATTTTAAGAAAAATTCATTGGGATAAAAAAATACACACATTTTCTTCAGATTTCCCCTTTCCTGATTTTATCCTTTCTGACAGTCACATGTCTGCTTGTCACCTTTAGGATATGTGCAAAGCATTGGAGGTTGACCGATTTTCCTTGGAGGCTGGCAGAAAAGAGAGCGAACGAGAGGCGTCAAAACTCGAGAGAGAAACCGAGCTTCTGCGTAAAAGACTCCAGGAGCTTGAAGAAGAGTCTCAGCCCCAGAAAGCAGGTTTTCAGGTGGTTGTTGTTGTTTAGTCGTTTAGTCGTGTCCGACTCTTCGTGACCCCATGGACCAGAGCATGCCAGGCACTTCTGTCTTCCACTGCCTCCCGCAGTTTGGTCAAACTCATGCTGGTAGCTTCAAGAACACTGTCCAACCATCTCGTCCTCTGCCGTCCCCTTCTCCTTGTGCCCTCCATCTTTCCCCACATCAGGGTCTTTTCCAGGGAGTCTTCTCTTCTCATGAGGTGGCCAAAGTATTGGAGCCTCAGCTTCAGGATCTGTCCTTCCAGTGAGCACTCAGGGCTGATTTCCTTAAGAATGGATAGGTTTGATCTTCTTGGGACTCTCAAGAGTCTCCTCCAGCACCATAATTCAAAAGCATCAATTCTTCGGCCATCAGCCTTCTTTATGGTCCAGCTCTCACTTCCATACATCACGACTGGGAAAACCATAGTACAGATTTTTTAAGACCAGGGTTGAGTCTATTCTTCTTTTAAAGCAGGGAATGGGAAACATGTTTGTTGTTGAACTCTCCAGCAACAACTGCAGGGCTACAGATTCCTCAGCCCTTCTTTAAAGAAAAGCAAATAATTCATCAGTGTCACCACAGTCCTGCACTGAGAGATGTTCAGTTGTGTAGTCGTTCTGGTGAAACATAAGCACCCATTTTCTTATTTTGTATCCTTTTATACAAGTCATTGTGAAAGGTCAGGAGGGGGACCACAGCAAATCGTCCTCTATGTTTCCCTCCATCTTTCTGATATTTCCCCAGGTGTTGCTGAGGTATGTTCAGGCTTTTCTTGCAGCTGTGTAGGCCAAACACATGCTTCAAGGAAAGTTTGAGTGCTGAGATTCTCAGAAAATTGGATTCTGGCACCCTACCCCCAGATTAACACATGTACATAATAATAAATTAGGCAAACTGTGTAACTTATGTGATAAGGCTGTTGCTAGTTGTTTGTCAGGGGCGCAGGTGGTGCTGTGGTCGAAACCACTGAACCTCTTAGGCTTGCTGATCAGAAGGTCGGCAGTTTGAATCCATGTGACTCTGTCCCAGCTCCTGCCTGCCTAGCAGTTCGAAAGCATGCCAGTACAAGTAGATAAATAGGTACCACTGCGGCGGGAAGGTAAACGGCGTTTCCATGTGCTCTGGTTTCCATCACGGTGTCCTGTTGTGCCAGAAGCTGTTTAGTCCTGCTAGCCACATGACCCGGAATGCTATCTGTGGACAAACGCCGGCTCCCTCGGCCTGAAAGCGAGATGAGCGCCGCAACCCCATAGTCGCCTTTGACTGGACTCAACCGTCCAGGGATCCTTTACCTTTGTACCTATTTATTTGTTTGCAATCGTTGCACGCCTCCCCCAAACTATGTTCTCTGGGCAGCTTATGGTAAAATATTGAAATGCAATAGGTAAAGGTAAAGGCACCCCTGACCATTAGGTCCAGTCGTGACTGACTCTGGGGTTGCGGCGCTCCTCTTGCTTTACTGGCCGAGGGAGCCGGCGTACAGCTTCCGGGTCATGTGGCCAGCATGACGAAGCCGCTTTTGGCAAACCAGAGCAGCGCACGGAAATGCCATTTACCTTCCCGCTGGAGCGGCACCTATTTATCTACTTGCACTTTGACGTGCTTTCGAACTGCTAGGTTGGCAGGAGCAGGGACTGAGCAACGGGAGCTCACCCCATTGTGAGGATTCGAACCGCCGACCTTCTGATCGGCAAGTCCTAGGCTCTGTGGTTTAACCCACAGCACCACCTGCATCCCAATAATCAACCGTAAAAATGTGCCTATGTAGCAAACTCTTGGTTTGACTGCACTTTAAATATCCCATAGATGGGAGATGGAGTCCAAACACTCCTTGGGCACATCTTGGGTTTACAGGTGGTCCGCACTGGCAGAAATCCCTCGTGTTCCCTGTTTAATGGATCACCATCTTTTCCCTGCAGAGAGAGATTCAGTTGGCGCTGACAGAAGAACGCCAATTGCTACGAGAGAAACTGGCTCTGGAAAACGAACTGGAGCAGCTGGAAAGGTATCAGGTGGCCCAAGAAGAGCTCCACAAGGTACTGGGTGTGGGGAAGCCTGAGAAATAGGCTAGTTTAATCATGTAGGCAAGCTTGTGTCTTTCCTGGAAGGAGCCATTGAATCCCAGTCATAATTCCTCTTGAGATTCCATCTGGTATGCAGGCTGAGACCCTACCTGCCCGCAGACTGTCTCACCAGAGTGGTGCATGTTCTGGTTATCTCCCACTTGGACTACTGCAATGCACTCTATTTGGGGCTACCTTTGAAGGTGACCCAGAAACTACAACTAATCTAGCAGCTAGACTGGTGACTGGGAGTAGCTGCCGAGACCATATAACACTGGTCTTGAAAGAGCTACATTGGCTCCCGGTGAGTTTCTGAGCACAATTCAAAGTGTTGGTGCTGAACTTTAAAGCCCTAAATGGCCTCGGTCCAGTATACCTGAAGGAGCATCTCCACCCCCCATCGTTCAGCCCGGACACTGAGGACCAGCTCTGAGGGCCTTCTGGCGGTTCCCTCATTGCAAGAAGTGAAGTTACAGGGAACCAGGCAGAGGGCCTTCTTGGTAGGGGCGCCCGCCCTGTGGAATGCCCTCACATCAGATGTCAAGGAAATAAACAACTATCTGACTTTTAGAAGACATCTGAAGGCAGCCCTGTTTAGGGAATATTCTGTAATATTCTGTTGGGAGCTGCCCAGAGTGGCTGGGGAAACCCAGCCTGATGGGTAGGGTATGAATGTATGTATGCACCGTATTTTTCGCTCTATAAGACGCACCTAGTTTTTAGAGGAGGAAAACAAGAAAAAAAATATTCTGAATCAAATGTTGTTGAAGAGAAAGGAAGAGGGAGGCTCCGGCTAAGGCATCACAACAAGAGGCGCTGCGCAGCAATCCCTCTTGCTGTTCTGGCTTCTGGGATAGCTGCGCAGCCTGCATTCGCTCCATAAGACGCACACACATTTCCCCTTACTTTTCAGGAGTGAAAAAGTGCATCTTATAGAGCGAAAAATACGGTATACAGTGGTACCTCGGGTTACATACGCTTCAGGTTACATACACTTCAGGTTACAGACTCCGCTAACCCAAAAATAGGGCTTCAGGTTAAGAACTTTGCTTCATGATGAGAATAGAAATCACACGGTGGCAGCAGGAGGCCCCATTAGCTAAAGTGGTGCTTCATGTTAAAAGCAGTTTCAGGTTAAGTACAGACCTCCAGAACGAATTAAGTTCTTACTCCGATGTACCACTGTATATGAATAAATAAATAAATAAAATTATAATAATTCCTATTTATTATTCCTCTTTTCTGCCCTACAAACCAACTGAGACTGATGGCGTTTGTTCAGTGGCAAGGCAAAATCTCTGCCTACGCACAGAACTGCTCTGTCCTTTCCTTAACATTTTCCTTAAACTATCTGCTGGCTAAGTTCTACAATTACTTATTAATTTAAAAGTTTTAATCAGAAGAGGCAATGTGAAATACGAAACAAGAAGAGTACATGTGGGAGATACATCCAGTTGAAATTCTGACTCACAATAGTGTTTGTTGAAGAGTGTGAAACCTGGCAGGAAAAACCCCATTCTCATATCAACCTTCTCTCTCCTGCCAACTCTCCAGGTGCCAACCAACTTACCTGAACGGGTGATGGTGTTTAAAGGCCACGTGGAAGAGGCGAAGGAGGAGACATTGCCTAACCGTTTGACAGCTCGGCCACAGATTCGATATCCTGTGCCTGGGGGATCGGCTCTCATCACTTTTGAAAGCCACGAGGGTAGGAGCAGCTGTTTGGATTGAAATTCTGACCCCGAAAAGATGCCACAGGGGTGGCGCTAAGTTGGGGAACCTAAGAGCAGGTAGAGATAGGCAATTGGGAGCATTTTGGCCCAGGGACATTTCTGGGTCACTTCTGGGTTTGGCACCATGTGCGTGTGCACGATGGTGCATCTTTAGGACGCACATTAATCGGTTGCTGCAATTAATGGCCATGACTAGCTTACACCCATTCATTGTAATGGATCTAGTCGAGTAATAGTTAGCTGACTACAACCCAAAGGCTCTTTGCGGGTGATTTCAACCAGTCCCTTGCCAGCAGTAGGAGTCCTGTATAAAGTCCCAACCATTTTTATCTCTAGTGATTGGACTTGCTCTACCGCTATAGGGAAGACACCTTAAGAGATCGCCCAGCTGCAATTCCTGGTTTCTCAATCTAATTCATCCCTCTGTTGATGAAGGTTCCATAGTTCTTGCCCAACTCTTTCAAGCAATGTCGTTGTTGGCATCCGTCTGTCTCAAAGACAATGGCGTGCGCCTCCAGGCATGAAATCAAACTGCTGCGCGGACAGCACTGAGGTGACCTCTTGTGGGCAGTGTGTATGGAAACCCTGGTCTCCCCAGACAACAAGACCCCCCTCTCAGCCTTGCTGGTGTGGTCCAAAGGAATAATAATAATAATTTTATTACTTATACCCCACCCATCTGGCTGGGTTTCCCCAGCCACTCTGGCCAGCTTACAGAATACAGCGATACCTTGGTTTTCGAACATAATCCGTTCCGGAAGACCGTTTGAGTTCTGAAACGTTCGAAAACCAAAAGCTCAGCAGCCGACAGCTAGGCCTCAGGATCTTACACTCAGAGGAAGCCGCGTTTCATGTTCAACTTCTGAGGCGTGTTCGAAAACCAAAGCATTTACTTCCGGTGCTACGGCATTCGAAAACTGAAATGTACATCAATGGAGACGTTTGAAAACCAAGGTACCATTGTATGTAAAACACTATAAAGCATCAAACGTTAAAAACTTCCCGATGCACGGCTGTCTTCTAAAAGTTGTACAGTGGTACCTCGGGTTACAAACACCTCAGGTTACAAACAATCCGGGTTACAGACTCCGCTAACCTGAAAGTAGTACCTCGGGTTAAGAACTTTACCTCAGGATGAGAACAGAAATTGCGCGGCGGCGGCAGCAGCAGCAGGCCCCATTAGCTAAAGTAGTACCTCAGGTTAAGAATGGTTTCAGGTTAAGAACAGACCTCTGGAACAAATTAAGTACTTAACACGGGGTACCGCTATATAGCTATTTATCACCTTTACATCTGAAGGAAAGCAGAGCAAGACATTTGTCAGCAGCTTGGCTGCAGGAGTTGCCAAAAGGAGGCCTTTAAGGAGCTATCCAACCACCTTAGGGATTCCTCTCCGGATCTGTGTAGAGTTTACTCCTTAGCCCAGTGGTTTTCAACCTGTGGGTCCCCAGATGTTGTTGGACTACAACTCCCATCATCCCTGAGCTCTGGCCTTGCTAGCTAGGGGTGATGGGAGTTGTAGTTCAACAACATCTGGGGACCCACAGGTTGAGAAAGGCTGGTAGACTTTTCTTCTCCTGAAGATATCCTGCAATGCAGCGGAGATTTTGGATCCGAGTTTTCCTTCTCCCAGATGGGCTGCCTTCCCAGGCTGACGAGCCCCACCTGCCCCTCACTTCCCTCTATAGCACATGCAAATAATGCTTTCTTCACCTCTGGACCCACTGTTGGTCTTGTCTGCTCAATCTGCCAGAGCCTGTCTTTGAATGCAGGGGAAGTCCCTAAGTCACCGAGGGTTTGAGACCCATTGACTACCCTTGACTCGTTTAACCAGCTAGTCAAAGCCATTGCTGGGGTACAGAGTAGGAACCAAGCTACCCCAGAAGGAGAACGATGCGCCTTGTCTCTCCCCTAACACTCCACACACCCCTCAATGCAATCACACACGGACAAAAAAAGCATCTTGTTTCCATCTTAGAGGAGGATGGGAACTAATTCTGGGTTGCTGAACTGACAGATAGGAAAGCAAAGGGATGGAGGGAGATAGGTGGGGTTGAATTGACCTCTTTTTCCACTCCTCCCTGTCAGTTGCCTCCAGGATCATTGAAATGGAGCAGCACCAGGTTCAACTGGATGAATTCACCTATGTGCACGTGAAGGCTGAGCCGATGGTGTTACTCTTGCCCTCATCCTTGGAGGTGGGTTCTGCATCTGTAAAATTGGACCCACAATACACACCTGGTACATCCTAACTTTGGGGTGATTGTGGGTAATTGTTTGTAATTGGGAACGTTTGAAACAGAAAATGGGCTGGAACGGGAAAGTTCGGAGTCTGTATCGAATCTTAACTCTGTAAGTAGAAACCTGTTCTTGGTTTTATTAGTACCTCAGGTTACAGACGCTTCAGGTTACAGACTCCGCTAACCCAGAAATCGTACCTCGGGTTAACAACTTTACCTCAGGATGAGAACAGAAATCGTGTGGTGGTGGCGGGAGGCCCCATTAGCTAAAGTGGTACCTCTGGTTAAGAACAGTTTCAGGTTAAGAACAGACCTCCAGAACGAATTAAGTTCCTAACCTGAGGTAAAGGTAAAGGTAAAGGTATCCCTGCCCGTACGGGCCAGTCTTGACAGACTCTAGGGTTGTGCGCCCATCTCACTCAAGAGGCCGGGGGCCAGCGCTGTCCGGAGACACTTCCGGGTCACGTGGCCAGCGTGACATCGCTGCTCTGGCGAGCCAGAGCTGCACACGGAAACGGCGTTTACCTTCCCGCTAGTAAGCGGTCCCTATTTATCTACTTGCACCCGGGGGTGCTTTCGAACTGCTAGGTTGGCAGGCGCTGGGACCGAACAACGGGAGCGCACCCCGCCGCGGGGATTCGAACCGCCAACCTTTCGATCGGCAAGCCCTAGGTGCTGAGGCTTTTACCCACAGCGCCACCCGCGTCCCTGAGGTACCACTGTATTATTAAAAAAAATTAAAGCTAACATTCCCAGGAAGTTGAATGCTGCACTTAGCACCACACTCAGCACATTTTCTGCACCTGTGCAGGACATGCAGTTAGGCTACAATCCATACAACTGCGATAGCACTCTGTCAGGGCCAGAGTCAAGCGTAGGTCAGCAGGAAAAACAATAAATCACCCGAGGCCAGTGCAGTTGTTATTGGCCTTCATTGGCATAAATTTAAACAAGAAAACCACAAAAGTCCTCCAAATGCATTAACAATCCAAACACATACAATATATAAAAGATTAGATAGCCACCACTGAGTCAATCAGGCAACTTTAGATTTACCGTATTTTTCGCCCTATAAGACGCACTTTTCCCCCTCCAAAAATGAAGGGGAAATGTGTGTGCGTCTTATGGGGCGAATGCAGACTCCTTGGCTTCAGCGATAGCAACGCGAAGCCTGCACTCCGGAGGCCTCGCGTTGCTTCCGCTGAAGCCAGGAGAGTCTGCTCTTTGAGGCTAGCGGTGGGGAAAGCAGTGCTTCCCCCATCGCCAGCCCCAGAGGATGGGGGGCAGCAGGAAGGCACGCGACGCCTTGCCGCCACTCTCCAACCCGGCTTCGAGGCTGGCAGTGGGGAAAGCAGCGCTTCTCCCATCGCCAGCCCCAGAGGATGGGGGGCAGCAGGAAGGCACGTGACGCATTGCCGCTACTCTCCAACCCGGCTTCGAGGCTGGCAGTGGGGAAAGCAGCGCTTCCCCCATCGCCAGCCCCAGAGGATGGGGGGCAGCAGGAAGGCACGTGACGCATTGCCGCTACTCTCCAACCCGGCTTCGAGGCTGGCAGTGGGGAAAGCAGCGCTTCCCCCATCGCCAGCCCCAGATGGGGGGCAGCAGGAAGGCGCGCGAAGCCTTCCAGCTACTCTCCAACCCTCCTTTGGGTTTTTGTGGGAGATGGGGGAATTCCCCCACCTCCCGCAAAAGCCGCACGCTCTTTAAAGGGGCTCTGTGGCTTCTGCTGGCTTTTCTAGGAGGTGGGGGAATTCCCCCACCTCCTAGAAAAGCCCGCAGGAGCCGCACACCCTTTAAAGAGCGAGCGGCTCTTGGGGGCTTTTCCCCAAGGAGGGAGAAGGGACTGACTGGCAGAGTCAGTCCCTTCTCCCTCCTGCTGGCTTTTGCAGGAGATGGGGGAATTCCCCCACCTCCCGCAAAAGCCTCGCGCTCTTTAAAGGGGCTCTGTGGCTTCTGCTGGCTTTTCTAGGAGGAGAAGGTCTTGGAGTAGCGCACAGGCTGCGTGCAGCCTGTCCACTGCTCCCAGAGCTGCGGGGGGGAAATCATATTTTTCCCCCTTGATTTCCCCCCCTGAAAACTAGGTGCGTCCTATGGGCCGGTGCGTCCTATACGGCGAAAAATATGGTAGCTTTAAATATTCCAGAAAGCAGACCACAGCTCAGGCCTAGTGGTCTCAGCAACTCTTTCTAGGAGGCCTTGCCCTGATGAAGCAGTTAGGAGGACTGAAAGTCCCCGTCTTCCCGGTATCCACTAAGACTCCTCCTCTCCAGGGTTGTTCCAATAATAATAATAATAATAATAATAATAATAATAATAATAGAAAAATTATTATTTATATCCCACCCATTGGGCTGGGTTTCTCCAGCCACTCTGGGCGGCTCCCAACAGAATATTGAAAACACGAGAAAACATCAAACATTAAAAACTTCCCTAAACAGGGCTGCCTTCTGGTGTCTTCTAAAAATCAGGTAGATGTTTATTTCTTTGACATCTGATGGGAGGGCGTTCCACAGGGCGGGTGCCACTACCGAGAAGGCCCTTTGCCTGGTTCCCTGCAACCTCACTTCTGGCAGGGAGGGAACCACCAGAAGGCCCTCAGCTCTGAACCTCAGTGTCCATGCAGAACGATGGGGGTGGAGACGCTCCTTCAGGTATACAGGACCGAAGCCATTTAGGGCTTTAAAGGTCAGCGCCAACCCTTTGAGTTGTGCTTGGAAACGTACTGGGAGCCAATGTAGGTCTTTCAGGACTGTGTCAGACTGTGTTTGTACACAACTACCCTCTGCTCTGCTCTGGCTGTTTCGTTTCTCTGTGAGTTCTAGGAGACCAGGGGAGAGAGGAACTGGCCGCAGCAGGAGGGGGAGATGGCCTGGATTCTTCAGCCTCCTCTCCAGCCTCCGCTTCTGCCTCTGCGTTAGAACTGCTCTTTGCCACAGCTTCTTCTAGCTCACTAAACCCTGTCACCTCTCCTGCTGCTGACGCCTCCTCCCTCCGGTCCACTTCCTCTTCTGCTGCTGACCACTCATCCTTGCCCTGCTCTGAGCCTTCTTCCCCTGGGGGTTCCCTAGGCCTAGGGCAGGGGTCTGCAACCTGCAGCTCCGGAGCCGCATGTGGCTCTCTTACACCTTTGCCGCGGCTCCGGGGCGGATACTAGCGAGGGGAGGAGGCGCATTGTACGCCCCGACACTCCCCACTGTGGCGGGCGCTGTACTGGCATGTACGCTGGTCACTGTTTTGAAGGGGAGTGAAGAACACACACACACAAAAAGGTAAGTTGCTAATTTAACGTTTATTTCTATGAGGAGGAATAATTCTGAGGGGTCAAACAAAGAAATAATAAAAAAGTGACAAAAAAGTTATTTTTATAATGACCAGTTTTGCGGCTCCGTTTTTTTTCCTTCGGAAACGGGTCCAAGTGGTTCTTTTTGTCTTAAAGGTTGCAGACCCCTGGCCTAGGGGGTTCCCCGGCTGGTGCCTCTTCTGCACCCAGCCAGACCGTGACCACACTACTGTTGGAGGTGGCTCGTGTGGAGGGAGGTGGCCTGCACCCAAGCCCACATTTTCTTCTTCTTCCCCGATGGACTTCTTTCCTCAGCTGTGCCATGATGTGGCCGTTCTGGTTCCTTAAGACCTCTTCCCCATCCCTCACAGATCTCCCTGGAAAAGAGTCCGCGACGGGTCCTGCTGTCTGGCATCGTGGCCCCCTCTCTGCCTGAGGACCGGCTGCTTGAGAAGCTGGAGTTGTTTTTCAGCAAGCGGCAGAACATGGGAGGCGAGGTGTTCAGCGTGGAGCGGCTGAGCGACTCTGGCCACGTGGTGCTGACGTTTATGGATGATGGAGGTACGAGGAGATAGATGAAGAGGCCGTGGGAAGGGGCAGGTGGCTTGCTTACCTCAAGAATCAGTGGATTATTTTTGTCGCAAGGGAAGTTATCATCCTGATTTCCCTTTCTTGGACCATCTCCAGCTCATCTATGAATGCTTAAGATTTATTTTAAACCAAAATTGCCATATTTTTGTTTGAGCTGCCGCTCATTTTACAGCCAGGGTGTAAGTAAGCACGTCGTTTAATTTCCCTGTGAATGGCCTTGTTTTCTCCCACCCCACAATACATGACGATCTTCATTCGGAAGAAATGTTGTGCTAGGTGCTGTACAGAATACAAGAGTCCCTTCTGCCAAATGCCAACTACAGTAGAACCTTGGTTCTCGAACGGCTTAGTTGACGGACAAATCGGAACCCGAATGCCGCAAACCCAGACGTCAGTGTTCCGGTTTGCGAACCTTTTTCGGAAGCCAAACGTCCGATGCTGCTGTTGGCTATTGTTTCTGGGGCGCCTGCGCCAATCGGAAGCCGCGCCTTGGTTTTCGAACGTTTCGGAAGTCGAATGGACTTCCAGGACAGATTACGCTCAAGAACCAAGGTACCACTGTATTATGCTTTAGGTAGTTAGAGCTGCACCGTTTTTTAAAAGCAGTGAGATGGAAAGTCACAGTGTTATTTTTTTATAATAATATTTATTATTTTCCATACATAACAGAAGAAAAAGCCAACAATAATAAAGAGAAAAAAATGAAACAGAAAAAGGGAAAAGAAACATAAAGCATAAAATACATCAAATCACCACATAAACTAAAGCTTAATTAATTAATCAAAATCCATCTTCATAAACATAAGACTTCCTCAAATCTCTTCCATCTGAATTTCTTAGTAATTATATATAGCAGTTTCCAATATCATTATTTCATAAAACCATATCACAGTCATAATCATATTTCCTAACTTTTCTTATCGTACATTTTCTTATTTATTTATTTAATCCTAGGCCTAATTAATTCTTTCAAGTGATTACATATCTTTAATATTACAATATTTATTCAAATAGTCTTTAAATTTCTTCCAATCTTCTTGGTGTTCCTCTTCTTTCTGGTCGCGGATTCTCCCGGTGAGATCAGCCAGCTCCATAAACTCCATCATCTTCATCTGCCATTCTTGTACCGTTGGTAGTTCTTGTGTTTTCCATTTTTTGGCTAGTAAAATCCATGCAGCAGTTGTGGCATACAAAAATACTTTAACATCTCTTTTGGGCAGTTCAGAACCTGTTATTCCAAGGAGAAAGGCCTCTGGTTTCTTCATAAAAGTATATCTCATCATTTTTTTTAATTCATTATAATTTTTTCCCCAGAAGTCTTTTACCTTGGAGCAAGTCCACCACATATGATAGAAAGTACCTTCCTTTTCTTTAGTCACAGTGTTGTCCTTTTCTTTGCCTCTTCCCCTTCTACAGTGGCCAAGCGGCTTATCCAAATAGGCCAGTACCAAGTGCCCATCGGACAGGAGAGTCACACAGTCAAGCTGTCACACTATGTCGGCGGAGAAATCGCAGAGCTGCAGGTGAGCTATTTTAAAATGAGGCTGCATTTTTAAACTGTATTTTAAACTGGGGTGTTTTCCCCCCCTTTCCCCCCTATTATGTTTTTACTGTGATTTTATTGGTGTTAGCTGCCCTGAGCCTGGCTCTGGCCGGGGAGGGCAGGGTATAAATAAATTATTATTATTATTATTATTATTATTATTATTATTATTATTATTATTATGTGGCTATGTGCATTGCTTCAGAAAGTGGTAAGCTGGGTCAGGGCCTGCTCTCCCATGAGGTGGACGGAGGCGGCCGCTTCGGGCGGCAGGATCCCAAGGGGCGGTGCCTACACCATGGGAGAAGCAGCTGCGACTTCTCACTTCTCCCTGCGGCCAGAACCAAGAATCTACAACCACACAACCTCAGTTAAGCGAGGCTTCAGGGGGAGGGTGTGGCACCTTCCTGTTTCTCCTCAGACGGCGAAATGGGATGGGCAGTCCCTAAGGGTCCTTCGTGCTCAATGGGGTCCTGGCCAACTGCCCCAAAGCTCTACCACAACAGCACCGCTGACCTCAGGAAACCAAATCATGCAGCAGCAGTGCTGTCCAAAATCAGATGCATGTTGGGTTCCTGAAACTTCATGTTTTTCGTTGCTGCTGCTGGTGGTAATGTTTGCATTTAGCAAAAGCAACCAGGACTCTTCAGCTCTGGCATCGTCATTCATTGTGCGCTAGGGATTTCCCCTGCGTGCAAAGACAGGCTCCGGCAGATTGAGCGGACGATACAAATAGTCTGGAATTTCGTCTGGGATTTAACCAGTGCAGTCTGCTACATCGGCAAAATTCTGAATTTCACTTCTAACCCTAAATGGTGGGTCCAATGATCAAGAAGATGGTTTCAGCACATGACGTGTTAGAATTCCTGCTCCGTGATTGCAGTCATGGAATTTTTGTCTATCACACGACGGTATATGTTTTGACTCCACACAGTGGGAAGTGACGGAGACAGGATGTTTGTGTTACTGTGTTCCATGAAGTAGGACTATTGTCCTTTGTTCTTTCTCATTGCTGTCTGATGCTAGAGAGAGATGGAGCCATGTTGCAGTGCTCCATGTATGTTTATATGTAAATAAAGGAGATTAGCCAAAATGCTGAGTTGCTGAGGTCTGTCACGCAAAATGCGCAGACTATGCGGATCCCTAAGTGTGCCGGTGTCGGTTGGCATTGGTCGCTGTGATGTTCGGGCTGAAGAAAGCTTTTGAAGCTCCCGAACGAAAGACCAGGTGGGAGAGAACATGCCAGTCGGGCATGTGTCTCTGCCAGGATCCTACTCGAGTGTAGGCTGAAATCCTGACATGACGTACTGTATTTTTTGCTCTATAAGACTCACTTTTTCCCTCCTAAAAGTAAGGGGAAATGTGTGTGCGTCTTATGGAGCGAATGTAGACTGCGCAGTTATCCCAGAAGCCAGAACAGCAAGAGGGATTGCTGCTTTCACTGCGCAGCGATCCCTCTTGCTGTTCTGGCTTCTGAGATTCAGAATTTTTTTTTCTTGTTCTCCTCCTCCAAAAACTAGGTGCGTCTTGTGGTCTGGTGCGTCTTATAGAGCGAAAAATACGGTACCTAGGAAGGTAGCCTATCTCGGAGAAAGCTCTGATCGTCAACCTCCACTGCCTTGCAGGATATCTTGGGGAGAAGTAAAAGACCAAGGAGTGGAGTCCCTAAGACAGTTGGATGGTGTCTTGTACGCCTCCTTCCGGCAACTCCAGCAGCCAAGGTGGTGCCAGACATATTGCTCTGCTTTCCTTCAGTGAGGCCAAGAGGGGGGAGGTCTTGCCAGGACCTCCATCCCCACTGCCCAGGCTTGCAGCCTAGGGAGGTCACTTCAGTGATGCTAACGCGGCGGTTCGACCACCCCCAGAGGTGGTCCTTATCTCCTGAGGCAGATGGACGCCAACAACAAAATCCTCTTTTTTCTTTCTCCCCGTTCCAGTTCCGTCCTTCGGTCTGCGCTCGGACTGTCCTGCTGTCGGGGATTCCAGACGTCCTGGACGAGGAATTGATGCGTGAAGCCCTGGAGATTCATTTCCAGAAGCCTAGCAAGGGTGGGGGAGAAGTGGATGTTGTCGCTTACGTCCCGATTGGACAGTGTGCGGTAGCTGTCTTTGAAGCGGAGGAGGAGGAGGAGCAAGACTGAGAGTGACCCTGCCTTCCAGAGGCAGAGAAAGCTTTCTTAAATTGATTTCAGCGCAAGTGGCTGCTCAACTCCCATCAAGGAAAGATCCTGCCAAAAAGGATGCAAAGCTCTGAACATTTGGGGGAGAGGGAAGTTTTGATAGTCCGAATTCTGAATCACTGCAAGGATGTGGAGAATCTCGGATAAATCTCACTCAGGTATAAAAATGGAACGGATATCCTTGCCAGCGTAATCCTGTATTGTGAAGAACCAGAGGATGGAGTTCTTGCAGTTTGGATTAAAAAAAGAGGCAGTCCCTGGCACACACTGACACCCCTTTTCTCTGACGTGCGGACTTTTATCTGCATTATTTGGTTTGTGGTTTTTCCTGCTGCCTTGTCCCTGTTCAGTAATTCTGTCTCAAACGCTTGCAGTTCACCCAAAGTGAAGGAGAGACTCTCAGAAAATCAGAATAAAGAGAACAGCAGACTCTCCCTCCTGCTGTTTGCAAATAAATAAATCCTTTTGTGCAGTCGTTACTAAGAGAGCGTATTTTGAGGAGCATCACTCCAGGCTTTAAAAATATTCTGAAAGGTGGCTTAGCAAACACATATTATTAATGGAAGGGGGCCCTAAGATTTGCAGGCAAGAAAAATCATCGTGTGTGTTTGTCTTTCTGCAAATGTCATCTGCAGCTACTCACAAACCAGTCCACAGAATTTAGTTCATTTATGTCCTGCTTTTCCTCAAGGATCTCAAAGCGGTCTTTCCCCTCACCCAATTTTATCTTCATGACACACCTGTGAGGTTGGTCAGGCAAGTAAGTTTTGTGGCTGAGTGGGGTTTTGAAGCAGTCTTTTCTCATGCCTAAGGGACGCGGGTGGCGCTGTGGGTAAAACCTCAGCGCCTAGGACTTGCCGATCGCATGGTCGGTGGTTCGAACCCCCTGGCGGGGTGCGCTCCCGTCGTTCAGTCCCAGCGCCTGCCAACCTAGCAGTTCGAAAGCACCTCCGGGTGCAAGTAGATAAATAGGGACCGCTTACCAGCGGGAAGGTAAACAGCGTTCTGTGTGCTGCGCTGGCTCGCCAGATGCAGGTTGTCACGCTGGCCACGTGACCCGGAAGTGTCTGCGGACAGCGCTGGCCCCCGGCTTCTTAAGTGAGATGGGCGCACAACCCTAGAGTCTGGCAAGACTGGCCCGTACGGGCAGGGGTACCTTTACCTTTACCTTTTTTCTCATGCCTAATTAATAATAATTAATAATAATTCTATGCCACCCTTCACCCAAGGATAACAGGATGCTTTATAATATAAAAACACAAAAGTACATATCATAGTAACAAACAATCCCCACACAGTTTAAAAGGCCATAGATTGTTTAATTAGCCAAAGGCCTGGGAGAAGTGTTTTTGCCTGGCAGCTAAAGATGTATGACGATGGCCCCTGGCGAGTCTCCTTGGGGAGAGCATTCTGCAAGTGAGGAGCCAGCACAGAAAAGGCCCTGCTCTCGTGTTGCTGCTCTCTGGTCCCCTCTTCTAGGAAGCTCACAAAGAATTCGTTCAGAGGGGCTGAAGAGCATGCTACGTTTTTAAGCTGCCCTTGCACCCGCACCTGCGGGAGTGCTGCCAAGTGTCTTCCTTTCAGCATGTTGAATCATGAAAAGAGAAGGTCCCAGGGTTGTTTTGAAGATAAAATGGAGCGAGAGAAAACCACATGCTCCACCTTGAGATCCTTGGAGGAAAGGCGGTGTGTAAATACATTTGTGATTCCACAACAGCTACCCGCAAACTGCAGGATCTCTGAGCATGAACAAAGTGCATTTCAACTGCTGCATGAACACTGCTAGCTAGCCTCATGCTTCTGAAAGGGTTTCCAGGGCATAAGTTGGTTTTGAGAGCTAGGAGCTTCTCAGGCGTGGGACGCAGGTGGCGCTGTGGTCTAAACCACTGAGCCTTGGGCTTGCCAATCGAAAGGTCAGCGGTTCGAATCCTCGCGACGGTCCCAGCTCCTGCCAACCTTGCAGTTTGAAAGCAAGTCAAAGTGCAAGTAGATAAATAGGTACTGCTCTGGCGGGAAGGTAAACTGCGCTTCCGTGCGCTGCTCTGGTTCGCAAGAAGCGGCTTAGTCATGCTGGCCACATGACCCGGAAGCTGTACGCCGGCTCCCTCAGCCAATAAAGTGAGATGAGTGCCGCAACCCCAGAATCTTTTGTGACTGGACTTAACTGTCAGGGGTCCTTTACCCATAGCTTTGGCTGTGAACCAGGCTGCATCGGTTAGCACTGAGGGTGTAAAACAGGCGTCAGCAAACCTTTTCCAGCAGGCAGCCAGTCCACTGTCCCTTAGACCTTGTGGGGGGCCAGACTATATTTTTTTTGGGGGGGGATGAACGAATTCCTATGCCCCACAAATAACCCAGAGATGCGTTTTAAATAAAAGCACACATTCTACTCATGTAAAAACACACTGATTCCTGGACTGTCCGTGGGCCGGATTTAGAAGGCAATTGGGCCAGATCCGGCCCCCTGGCCTTAGTTTGCCTACTCATGGTGTAAAATCTTTGCAAGATTGGACCAAACAGGTGCCCCGGGAATTCCCCAAGGAGGAATTCCTCACACCCCTACACACACATAACTTAACTAGGAGGTAAGTGACCTCTGTGCATGGAGGTTACATTGACTGACTGATCCTCCTTGGGTTCTTGTGCTTCAATGCCATCATGGGTGGGATCCCCAGCAGTCATCTAGTCCAACCCCAAGATGCAGGAATCTCAACTAATGCATCCATGAAAGGTGGCCATCCAACCTCTGTCCAGCAGCTCTTAACTGTTGGAACTGGTTGAGGCAGGAACTCGTGATGGAACTGGTAAGGCTGTTGCAACTTGGATAAAATATGGGGGGGGGGAGAGAGTAAGTCCCGCCCCGCATAGTCAATCACATGACACAGCAATGCACACTATTTGAATGGCAATGCCCATTAGCTTTGGGGTCAGCCCCCTCAAATATAAGAGAGCCAGTGTGGTGTAGTGCTTAAGAGCCGTAATCTGGGGAACCGGGTTTGCGTCTCCACTCCTCCACTTGCAGCTGCTGGGTGACCTTGGGCCAGTCACACTTCTTTGAAGTCTCTCAGCCCCACACACCTCACAGAGTGTTTGTTGTGGGGGAGGAAGGGAAAGGAGAAAGTTGGCCGCTTTGAGACTCCTTAAAGGGAGTGAGAGGCGGGATATCAAATCCAAACTCTTCTTCTTCTCGGCCCCTAGGATTTGACTCCTATGGGCTGATGCGTTTCCGTGCGCTCCAGGAACCCAGAGTACGCTTTGGTGTGCATGCAAATCGTGCGCGTGTGGGGGGCACATTGCACCCCCCCACACACAACTTGCCCGCCCACCCCTCCTCTCCTTCCGGCCTTTCCTTTCGCAAAGTGGGCGGTCTCTGGGACGCGACTTTCGCTTTCGTTTCCCTTTCGTTGCTGTTGTGGATGTTGCCCCGGCCACCCTCCTTCGAAGGTAGGTGCCTTTGCGCGCCCGGCGCCCCATCTTCCCCCTTGCTTCTGCGGCTGCCACCCCTCTTCTGCGCCTGAACATCCCCCCACACCCAGGATTTCTTCCAGAGCACCCCAGGATAGAGGCGATCGGACCTTTTTGCGCCCCTTTCTCTTTCCCTCTAGGTTTCCTGAAAATCCGGCGCGCCATCGGGTCGACAAAAGCGTTTTCTCCCGCTTCCGTGGCTGCCTTTTAGTCTTGCCTCCCCCTCATTAGGCGCCCAGCCAGCCCCCTTTTCCTCGGGGCAGATGGGAATGCAAGGGTTTGCAAGCTTTCCGCACTTTTAAAAACCGGGCCCCACATGTTGGTGTGGGGTCTGCTCGGAGCCATCGCTGACCCATTGCCGGAGCAGCTGTGCGCCCTTAGCAACGCCCCAGCCTGCTTTTCCAAGGCCGAAGAGCAAGTTTCTGCAACCCGGGCGCTTCCGATCCCCGATCCCTTTTGCTGACTGCTTCACTGCTTCCCAAGTTCAGATCGCCCAGGGAGCAGCCGCCAGCCAGACCCCCAGCGTTACTGCACGCCGAAATTTGTGAATGAAATCCCTCAGGCTTCACATGCAAGGCTTGCCCACCCTTCTGCTCTAGATCAGCCTCGCCCAACCTGGTGCTCTCCAAAGTTTTTGCGCTACAATTCCCATCTGCCCCAAACATCTGGTTGGGGAATCTCCCATCAACTTGGAGGCGGTGCAGTGCTTTGCTACAGAAACCGGAAGTACAGTGGTACCTTGGGTAACATACGCTTCAGGTTACATACACTTTAGGTTACAGACTCCGCTAACCCAGAAATAGTACCTCGGGTTAAGAACTTTGCTTCAGGATGAGAACAGAAATCGTGCGACGGCGGCACAGCAGCAGCGGGAGGCCCCATTAGCTGAAGTGGTGCTTCAGGTTAAGAACAGTTTCAGGTTAAGAACGGACCTCTGGAACAAATTAAGTACTTAACCCGAGGTACCACTGTAGTCTGAATCGTTGCTTCTGGCTTGAGTTCACTAAAGCGTCTCCCCATCTTCATTACAGGATTATTTGCAAAGCTTGCAGCCGGCTGTGTATGTGATTGAGCGCTTCCAAAGTGCTACTACAAGCAATGAATTAATTAGCAACAATTCTGCTTTAATGAATTATCATCTGGCTTCGTAGACATTCATTTATGTGAGCTTAAAAAAACCAACAACACTTGTGTGCTTTGCATGTGACTTTAAAACCTTTCTGGAAAGTTTACACTGAACAGCCAAGTATACAACTTTTTCAGTAAAACCACATTTTTCAAAGAAACGGCAACCTTTTCACAAACAGTTAAAAGCTCTGATAAAGCGCAATGGAACTTCCCCTTTCCTCATATCCCCACATCCCCGTCCCCTCCAGATCTCTTCTGGGGATTTCCGCAAGCCCCCGGAACAGATTGTGGGGTATAGATAGAGGTGAGAGAGATTACACCCTATTGTGCAGGTATAAGACTTTGTGCCAACAGAACAACTTACTTGGATAGAACTCACAGTTTTTTGATTTCCGTTAAGCTTGCTGGAATCAAATGGCCTTCCTCAGCTTCTTGAAGGTCAAATGTAAGGCTGGTTAGGCTGGTTGCTCCTTGGATGGGTGCCACGACTGGAAAGGCCCTGCTTTTTTGTGCCAGGCAGACTTAACGAAATGGTACTTTAAAGTCATAGTTGTTTATTTCTTTGAATTCTGATGGGAGGGCGTTCCACAGGGCGGGTGCCACTACCGAGAAGGCCCTCTGCCTGGTTCCCTGTAGCTTTGCTTCTCGCAGGGAGGGAACCGACAGAAGGTCCTCAGTGCTGGACCTCTGTGTCTGGGCTGAACAATGGGGGTGGAGACGCTCCTTCAGGTATACTGGGCTGAGGCCGTTTAGGGCTTTAAAGGTCAGCACCAACACTTTGAATTGTGCTCGGAAACGTACTGGGGGCTAATGTAGGTCTTTCAAGAGTGTTATGTGGTCTGGGCGGCCGCTCCCAGTCACCAGTCT